CCGTCCCCGGGGGGGGGGGGAGGGGGTACTCATAGTCGTGCATGCCGTAGTCGTTAGACCGTTGACCTCGCATCCCTCCAAAGCCGGGACGGAGCACGCTTGGCCCTCACCAGGCTCTCACATCACCATGCGCGAAGCTCCGTGAGGTATTCGGCGAGTCGCATGAAGGGTGCGCTGCGACGAAAATCCAACCCAGGACGGCAAACACCGGGGGGGCGGGGGGGCGGGGGTACTCATACTCTATCGTGTTTACTGCTACTGAGTTCTCAATCGAGAGGGCGCCGTGGAGAAGAGGGATGGTTCCAGGGATATTTATTGAGATTTTATGTATAGTCTACTCCATATTTGTTTCCTCTCTCCGGAGAACAGGGTTATTCTATCGGTTCTTCCCCCACCATGCTGCGTTTTTTTTTTGTGTGTGCGCGGTTGCCATTTTGGTGCGTGTGTGTTTTTGCTGCTGCTGTGCCATTCTTGTGGCCGGCGATGAAAAACAGGCGAATCGTGTGTTTGCTCCTGCTGCTGCCGTTATTTTCCGGCGATGGGAAACAGGCGAATCGAATATGAGGGATGCGGTAAAGCGGAAGGATGCCAAGGTGGGGGAGAACAAGTTCCTGAGCTCGCCGGGGGAGATCATAAAGCGGTTCATTATCAAGGTCTTCTGGGCAGACGAAGAGGACGACATCAGGTGTGCCCGAGAACCGAAGTTGATGGTGGTGGTGGTGGCGGTGGTGTTGTCGGAGCGATTACCTTGCCAAAATTGTAACCGGTAAACAGGTAGCCTTTGCACTCCACCCCCCCGATCGCTTGTCAAATCCTCATTTTTGCCCCCCCCCCCGAGCCCGCCCTCCCCGGTGTTTGCCATCGGGGTTTGGGTTTTCGTCGCTTGGCAACGACGTTGTAAAACAAGCCCCCCACTCGGTGTTTGCCATCGGGATTGGGTTTTCCTCGCTTGGCAACGACGTTGTAAAACAAGCCAATTCACTTCGTGAACTCGGCAACCAGGTTACCGTTTTTTTTTTTTTACCTCGGTTTTTTTTTTTGGCGGTAACCATAATGGTGGTCGAGTAGATCATGTTGTGCGGGGTCGAGAAACCTCACTCCGCGCAACGGGGGATGATCGCACCACGTTGTGTTAACATGGTAAAGCTTCCTCGAGGCAGTTACACAGTGCTTACAACTGTCTCTGGAAGTGAAAGCACCAGAAAATAAATTAAGTCATACGTAGCTGTCATCCGTACGCAAGGAAGTA